CGCCGACAGATTTTGGCCCCCATTTCTCATAACTGCCGGAGTCATGAGTGCCCGGTATGACCAGTGACGGCAGTTTCTTGTCACCAATTATTGACAGATTGTTTTCCATCCAAAACGGATTGTTTTTCATGCAATTCTTTGCAAATACAATACCGTTGTGAATATATGCCACATAATAGCCCAGACATTGTTGAGTCAGTTTACCCGTCGCAAAGTTTCGGTATGGGAATTGAATGTCTGTCCTGTTTATTCAATTCTTTACAATTAATTATCCCGTATAATTTCTACTTTAACATTGTACCATATTAAATACACAGTGTGTGCAGTATGTAGAAAATAAATATTGTTTAACATATAGTGTTTTTGTTAATCTCACTTGTTTTTTATCACACATTTTAATTAATCATTTCATATAAATTATGTTTAGTATTATTAGAAGTCTAATCATGAGCTGGAAATTCTATACCTTGTAAATATGCAAATAACATATATCCTAAATAAAATGATTTATACATCTTGTACAATATGGTATAATTCTTAGCATAAAATTAGTTACCTTATAAATATTTAAATAGGATAAAAATAAAGGTATTAGTTTACTCACACATTATATCCATTTAATCTGGAGTTCACATCAACTACTCTAATAGCACCGGTGCTATCAATGGGATCAGATGTGAATATTCCAACCCAATCGTTAAGATTAGATTTGGGGGCATTCCTCCAATTAATCTCAATTAGTCTCTGAGAAGTCTTGTCAGCTAACGGATTGATGGTCAGCCAAACCTGTGTCTGCACCTGACCTTCAATTACAAGACAAAAAGATGTCTCAATAAGACATAAAACGTATCAAAAGGTAATCATTTTCAATATTGAATTACTCCAAACAAAGTTGTCTCCAAAAAACATTAACCGAAACAATAGAAGCAAAGGATAGAAATTCATTATTCAGTGGTTTTTGTCGTATTCTTTGCAGTACTTGTATTACACTTTTCGTTGGGAACTCGGATAACACAACCAATAATACAATTTAAAGGCTTTGACTAACTGTTGAAATCTATTTTCATTTGGAAAAACAAATGTTTTGATTGAAAACAAAATTAAAATTAATAAAAAAAATAGGAGCAAAGGAATGAAAAGTATTGGAAACGTAAATATTTATAGTGAGAGCTAATGTAATAAAATGAAAACTAAATGCGAAAATTCGCACATTTTTCTCACTATTATACGAATACATGGTAATAGTCGGGGAATAAAGTAATTGTTATGAGACTGTTGTGGAAGAAAAAGACGTAATACAGGGATGTACTGTATATTTGCACAGCCGGTGACTTTCACTACCAACTCATCGCTAAC